TACATTGAGAGAAGAATTGCTGAGAAGTTTGACACTAATTCCATTATTGACGAATTTTATGTCATGAAAGACTGACGTGCATGACTTAAATAAAAAGGTACATTATATTTAACTTGTATTCAATATATGGTATTCTTATTATTAAATTTATTTTCTTTTGTCCCCCCTTTGAATGGTTTCTGGATCTGTCACTGATCATTATACTACTCTTAATTTTTGTTGATAATATTTTAATTCAAACATAATATTTTACTTGTATTATGCATGGTTCTAATTCATTGATTATTTACTATGTTTTTAATATATTATATGATAAACTATTTGTTATATAAATATATATTTTATATAAAAATTAATAAAAATTTATTCATCATTACATTATAAATTAAATTTATTTAATTTATAATATTAAAAAATTATAATTTATTTAAATATCATCTAAATTATCTTTATTTGAATTGTAAAAAATAATTTATATATTTACATTATTAACATAGTATTATTTTTAAGAAATAACAATGTTAACATTAATGTTAGGTGTAACACCCCTATTTTTGTTATTTATTAATTTTATATTGTATGATAATTATTAATGCATGTTGCTTGAAATTAGGAAAGTTTTAGGTGTTTAAGTTGCAAGATTTCTCGCTGTAGTAAGATGTGTCTCGCTGTAGCGAGAAAAGTCATCCAAAATTAAGCTCTCTGAAGCCCTCTCGTTGCACGAGGGAGTCTCACTGTAAAGAAAAGTGGATAAGGTTGATCTAACAAACCATCTTGCTGTAGTAAAAATGAAAATGACATACAGTAAGGGAAAAAAGATATCTGATTTTTTTATTTTATTTTTTTGCTACAACGAGAGAAGAGCTTGCTGTAGCGAAAGATAACTTACTGTAGTAAGAATGTCGCGAGTTGAGAAGTATTTAAGGTTTTTTCAAGTTAAGAAACTTGAACTATAATCCAAGTTACAACCCATTCTTCATTTCCTTTGACATTTCTCTCCTTTTTCCTCAGAAAACCCTTGATAAACCCCAATCTTTCATCGATCCAAGCTTGAAAGTTCACTCTTCTTGATATTTGGTAAATTCATGAAGCTTGATTCTCCATTTCCTTGGTTTTTTTCTTGTTTCTCACTTCTAAAAAGGATATTTTTGTGATATTTGTGAATAACCTAACCTTTTAAGCAAGATCTCTCATAAACCTTTTCTAAATTTTCATTTCAAGGTAAGGAGAGTTCTTTCTCATTGCTGAAAACTTTTTATGTTTATATTATGAAAATGTTGTGGTGATGCATAATGGTGGATATATGTTGGATTGAAACAAATTTTATGTGTTTAATGATGTGCATGACCTCTATTTTGAGATGTATGTATGTATATTGTGGACTGAGTCTGGAGGTGACTAACCTCCGGTAATGCTTGATTGATATATGATGTAGTTAATGTACTTGAATGAAGTTGAAAGAGGAAAGGATAAATAAAATATTAACATGGAAATATTAAGTTAGAGTTTGATGAGAAATATGAAATGAGAAATAGAATGAGAAAGGAAAATGATAAGGACAAGTATGAATAGTTTAGAGATACACTGAGAGTATAGAAGATGGAGGTAATTTGAGAAATCTTGAGAAAATGACAGTGGTGGATGTTTTTCTTGAATTGCACATAACAACTGCAAGTAAGAGCACTACAAGCCTCACACTTATTTCCTAACCTAAACTCATTTCCACGCTTTTGCTAAAAGGGGCTGGATCGACAGGTTATATCCGTGTAGCTGCGGTTATCCAACAATTATCTATACTAAGGAAGACCTCAAGGGATCCTAGGGGCAGTAAAAGTGTGAAATAAGAACTCCAAGTATTCATAAAAAGGAAATGTAATAAGCTGAATAATTAATGATTAATGCATGTATATGAATATTAATTGTGTGGCATAATTAATTATTGTATTATCTTAGCTTGTATTGTTTGACTTAATTATGAATGTATGCTTAGTAATAAGAATAGAGGTTCATCCTTACATAATATTTCAGGGAATAGAGATGACGGACCCACAAGGACTTGTTTTCATTTGTCAGAGTTGCTTATCACCAGTAGAGTAGATCATGTAGCTAGGGAATAACAACAATTGTGCCATTGTAGTTTTATTGTACGTAGTAATGATAGTTATGATATCATATTTACTTAAGAAATGACTATAGGATATGATGTATCCTTAGATTATCTTAGCAATGGTAGAATCCACCATATAAGTGTAGTTATATTTAGAGGTTTGACCAGGCCACCAAATGAATGGAACTATGTGTACACTCTTCTGGGCTATGATCAGCATGGAAGATCAAGCCATTGCACTATTGAGCGAATCACGGGCCTGAACTAGTAGCTAATGAATGTGACCTTGATGAAGATGAAGACTTATCCCCAAAAGAGGTGATAGAGATTGAGGGATGGTCTGGGGATGATGACTAGTAGCGTCTTCAGTCCCTTTGTGGTTAGACTGCTCATTAGGACTTGTGATATTTTTTTTTTGTATTTTGTAAATGATGTGGACAAGTCCTAATGTATTTTGAAGTAATAGTTTAAAAATGTTAACCTCTTGTAAATTTATAAGAACAACGTATATTAATATTATTTCACATTTCCTTTTAAATTTGTTTAATTCCTATTACTTTGTCATTTAAATTTTTATAAGTTTGAGTAAAGTAAATGAAATATTTTATGTTTCCACATGTTGTTCTCGACTTACAAACGAATTTAACTCAATTTTTCCTTCTTAACTTTAAAATTATTTTCTTATTATATTAAATAAAATGAGGATGTTACGTTAGGGTTGGGTAATGGGTGGGTTAGGTCAGATTCGAGTCTAAAATTTCAGAATCGACCAAAATTAAATATACAAATATTTTAGGCCAAAATTAGTTTTAAATTTATTGGGTTGTTTGGGGTTTAAATATTTAGAACCAACTAAAATTAAGTATACAAATATTTTAAGCAGTTTTACATTTATTGGGTTGATTTGGGTTTCGGGTAAAATAAAGTGGTTTGATCAGGTGGATTTTTACAGTTTGTATTTTTTTTTATTTGAATACTTAGGCTGATTTTATTTTATTTTTAAAGAAAATTTTATAAAAAAATAAAGTAAAAAATCCCTAGCCATAACTTTCATGCAAAGGGGCTTCAACACCTCAGTGAAAAGTAGTCTAACTCTAGAAATAACATCCAATATAGGGAGTCTAGAACCAGCAAGCACTTAAGAAGAAAAAAATAAACGAGGTGAAGAATCAAATAAGAAAAAATGAGGAGAAGAAAATCTTAAAAAAAAAAAAATTCTGGAAGAAGAGGAAGAGCGGTGCAAAAGAAAAGAAAAAAGATAAGAAACTTTAAAAAAGTAAAATACTGAAACCCTATAAATTTTTAGCAACTCCTGTGAGAAATATGAGTTAGGTTGGACCTGGATTATAATACTTAATAACATATATTATAGGTTGAGTTGAATACTAAATCTTAAACCTGCACCCAATTAATAATACTATATATCTGAATTTATAACTCGTTAATTTTTAATTTTGAACTGACCTATACAAAATATTAAAAATTTTCATCGATTGAATTGAATTCGGTTGGTTTGAAATTTGTTGTTGCCCACCTAATTAATGTTATGTATGTAGCGCAAGACCAAATGTAATAAATAATTATTAATTAAAAATTATTAAAATTGATTTATTGAAACATGTTATCTAATACTTAATGTTAATTTGACATAAAATTCTTCTTAATTTTAATCATATTAATGATGAGTTTAAATTGAAAAGTCATAGTCCATATAACAAAAGGTTTAGATATTAATTAATCATATTTAAATTTTATTTATTAAATTTATTATATACTTTCTTGACAAATTATTTAGTATAGAAATATATTTTTTACGTAGAAATTAATAAGAATTTGTTTATTATTGTATTATATATCAAATTTATTTAATTTATAATATTAAAAAAATTAAATTTATTTAAATGTTATCTAAATTATCTTTATTTGAATAGTAAAAAATAGTTCATATATTTATAATATCAACATATTTCATTTTCAAACAATGAAGAAATAGCAACGTTTATATTAATAATCATAATAATTTTGTTTACACATAATCATAAATTTTCTTATAAAATTTCATATTAAATAACCTTTATAATTTTATCTATTATTATAAAATAAATGTAATAAATAATTATTATAAAGACTTAATATTAAAAAGGAATAAGTAGAATTGATTTAATAAAATATCCTATCTAATATTTAACTTTAATTTCACCTAAAATTCTTAATTTTATTGATATTAATGTTATATTTTAAAATTTAATATACAAAAAGAATTAATATTAAAAAAGTATTTATAACTTTATATAACAATATGTTTTTTTATAAAAATATTATTTTGACTTTTTAAAGTAAACTATTTAGAACTGATGTTCATAAAATTCTTAAAATATTTCCTTGTTTTAATAGTTCCATGTAATCTTATAAAAATATATAATTTCATAGCCGCAAGAAAAGTATATTTCTTTCTTTAAATGTCCGAAGAATGGGAAACTACAGGAAGCATCTGTAACTAAGCTGATAATATCTTCATTAAATCTTTCTAAAATTAAGTAATTATCACAAAAAATAACTAAAGTTAGATGGATTCAGTAATTACAAGCATGCTTTAGGGGATTTTACCTGAGTTTTACTTACATGTATAAAATTATAAGTACACCCTTAAAAGGGTTAATCATCAATATAGTACTTGTACATCACAGGGATGAAGCTTCCTTTTTAGTTTTGGTGGCGTGCGTGTGGGTGTGAGGTGTATAATTTGAATCAGAATAGCTTGAGTCTGTAAGCTTCGCTTTTTGTGTCATCAATTGCTTGTCTCTTCCTCCAAAGTCACCACTTTCTAGCCCATTTAATTTCCTTTTTAAGTCTTCCACTTCATTGTCATTGCAATTTGCAACTGTATACCATTTAAATAGATATATAGTGAAAGAGACCAAATAGACTATAAGTACACACACAAAGAGAAGGAAGAAGAGCAGAAGATGGTAGATTGGGGGCCTGTTTTTGTGTCAGTGGTGCTTTTCATTCTCCTAACTCCAGGGCTCTTGGTCCAGATACCTGGAAGAGGCAGGTTCATAGAGTTTGGCAACTTCCAAACAAGTGGATTATCCATATTGATCCACTCCATCCTCTACTTTGCCCTTGTTTGCATCTTCATGTTAGCAATTGGGATCCACATGTACATGGGTTAATCATCCCAAAACACCCTAAATCTAGTAGTTTAGTAGTCTATTTGGTCAGGTTTGAATTCAGGGATTTTATTTGTTTTCTTCCTAGTGTCTTTTGTTTTTCTTTTTTACCCCTCCCTCTTTTAATAAATTTCTTGGAATCAAGCTTATGAATTAATGACGATTATTTCAGTTCTTGGTGTTTTTAATTTATTTCCTTTTGATTTTTAGATGTGTTACATCAGTGAAATTAAAACTTGAGTTTTTCATGCTTGTATATTGAATATATAATTTACGCTTTGTTCAAGTATTCTGAAATTCATCATCAGGAATGATACAAAAGGGCTTGTAGTGGTTATGTTTTAATGAATTTAATTTAGAGATCGCGTTATTATTTAATTTAAAAGTATTTATTAATTGAAGTAAAACTTTTAATCATTAACAACATAATTAAATTGTATTACGTCTTAATTAGATAATGAATCAAAGTTAAATTATATCTGAAAAATTAATTCATGCTTTGTGATTGTTCTCAAATCCTTTGAAAAAAAGGCAGTACCCGTCATTCTTAACTAGAAATGTTGATTTAGTTGATAATATGTTAAAACTTCAATCCTCGCTTGATTTGTTCAAACTTCAAAAGTGCTTGACATGAAATTCGCCTGACTAGTGCAAGGTGTTGCAAGTTTAAAGGTAAGAGATGAAAATTTAAATATAATAAAGAACATGAACATGATTACCTTCTGCTAAAAAAAAAAAAATCCAAAAATCTGGTAAGATGCAGCTGTTAACACCTTAATTTAATTTTCAATATTTTTTTAATATATTAATTTTGCAATAAATAGGAATAATAAATTTTCATTTAACAGTTCCCAATATACGATTTCAATAAAGTATTTCAAAATAAGGATGAATTACAAATTTTGAATCAAATCATTGTTACAGGACTTAATTAGTACATCATATTTTTAAAGGAATTTTTCTAAGTCTTATAGCAATTTCATCTATCCTTTTACTGAGCCTGGTGTTGATCGTCTTGGTCACCTGAAAAATAAATGTAAGAGTGAGTACTCTATACTATCACATACAAGCATAAAGATTCACCTCACACATTACACACATTTCTAACATTATTCAAATCACGCATCAAGCAAACATAAAATAATACATTTCACTCCAATTCATATACAGGTGCGCTCACTACACCATCAAACAATCCACACACATGTGTGCTCACTGCACGTAGTCACACTCACTGTGGCACTGTGATCATAGATTCCTAATGCCTTCAACCTTAGAGACTTACTCAGTTTCACACCATGGATGGTTGTTAGATAGCACCCGCTCCACGGATACAATGTTTGCGGTATTGGGCGCTCTAACAGAGGTGTTAGTTAGAGGTCGAGTCAAAAGGAAAGTGTGTGGCTTGTGATGCACCCACGCTCATTGTTGGTGTCACCACCACCCTCTCTTCCCCAAGGTATTTCTATCGCCCCCATCTTCCGCACCTCTAGTGTATCGTTGAACCATTCATAATTTTCCAACATTTTCAAACACAACCATCATGCCATTCACACATATTTTCAATCATTTCAGATTATTCATTATCAACCAATGGCATGTCCTCATATTTTCAACCACATGTTTCTTGAAACTCCTGAAACTTTATCAGCATACTCCCCCACTGTCATGTTTCCTTCCCCAAGAGTCAAGTGAAAGTAACTACTTCCAGTAGTTAAACTAGTCACTGATAAATCCATATTTTACTACATTTTTAACTTACTTTTTATTAGTAAATAAGTAGTTAAATAATAAATAAACATGAAAATACCATAAAAATTGCATTTACATTCATAGTTATGTAAAGAGTTTAGAATTTTAGATTTTATCCTAATTCTAGAATAATTCTGCTGAAAAGAGTTAATTTTGTACAGAAGCTTGAGATGGAGAATTTAAAGTTGAGATTCAAATGAAGAAAGTGGAAGATTTGAGCTTAAAAAGTCAAGAATCAAGTGATATTGCTAGGCGTTACAACTTTGAGTGCATAAAGTAGCAACTCTGGAGTTTTTCAGAAGTGTAGAAGCTCAAAGTGAACACTTTAAGTGTTCAAAGTTAACACTTTGAAGAAGAAAATTCATGAAGATCATGTGCGTAACAACTTTAAGTACTGAAAATTATCATTCCAGCAACAAAATATATGAAGAGGCTTATGTGTAACAACTTTACCTACTGAAAGTAGTAATGCACAAGGCAAAATTCAACAAAAGATCTGAGCATAGCAACTCTAGGCATTGAAAGTGTCTATGCGCAGTTGTGCATAGCAACTTTAGGTATTGAAAGTGGTAATGCGCAAGGCAAAATCACATGAAAGACTTGCGCGTAGCAACTTTACCCACTGAAAGTACCAAAGCGCAGTTGCACGTAGCAAATTTAACCACTTAAAGTACCAACGCGCAATAATAGAATTTGGTAAACCACTTTCAAGTGTCAACTTTGGATGTTTAAAGTTCCTACTTCAGCCTTAGAAGCTTCTATAAGGCCTTCTATGTTACAACTTCAAGTGATTAAAGTTCCAATGTGGAGAAAGTCGGGAAAAATTATAAAAAGCGGTTGATAGTTCAGATTGGGATATTTGGTCATATTTTTCATTTCTAACTGTTTTAACTTCTTAGGAAAGCCAGAAAGAGGGATTGGAAGCGACTTTCAAGCTTCATCTCTAGAGGAATCAGGGTGAAGATTGGATCTTTGAAGATATTCTTCTGTTCCTTATCTTCTTCTTCTCTCATTGTAATGTTGTTATGAACTTTTTGTTAGGGATTTATGAATCTAAAATGGATGTATTAATTTGATTTTGACTCTAAACTTTGAGTGTTTGATTGGATTGAGTAGTTAATTCTATTAATAAAGTAAATCTTTGGGTGGAAATTCAATTGATTAATAAAAGAGGAGCCTTTACCAATGGAAATTGAATTTGTTTCTTAGATCTGAATTGATTACCAAGATTATTGACTTCTTAGGGATAAGTGATCTTAATTTTGCAATCTTAATGTTTCTAATTCATAATGCAACATTGAGTTAAATTTTTCCTAAGAAATTAAGGTGATTTAGTTGAATGTTAAGGTCAATCAGTTAAGGAATTAACCTTTGACTAATAATTTGTGAAACTGATTGTCAATCAATCAAATACTTGAATGTTCAGAGGTATAATTGAGTTAATACCAAAATTTTGGTGAAATAAATTCCTAACTCTCATTCATTCATATATCACTTCAACACAAATTCGTATTCTATTTTACAGCACCTTTATTACTTTCTAGTGTTGTTATTTCTTATTTCTACAGTGAGACTACCTTGCAGCGAGAAGGCCCTAGGCGAAGAGCATGAAACTGTGCCGTTCTCATTGTAGCAAGAAGGCGACAGTAGAGGGTGTATTTCTGGGTGCAGTCTCGTTGTAGCGAGATTCTGCGGAAACAAAGTGCAGTTTTCTTTGAGATTTTCGTTGTAGCGAGGGAATATCTTGCTGTAGCGAGAGTGTCGCGACCAGAGGAGTATTTGAAGGGTCTAGGGTTTGAGAAATATATTCTCACTTTTCTCTCTTCATTTCACTTTCGATTCTCTTAACTCAAAACCCATTCTTACTGATTAAATTGCCTCCAAGGCCGTTTAGAAGCTAGATTGAAGGTTGGAATCATGTTTGGGTCATTTGGAGGTAAGTTTAAATGGTGAGGGTTTTGATTTCTCATTCTCATTATCTGTTTTCTCAGTTTTCCTTGGTTCTCATGGGATTCTTCCATGTATTTAGGATGAAATCTGTGTAGGGGACGCTTCTATTGTTGATTTTGTGTGTGAGTCTTCAATCTGAGGTAAGGGGAAACTTTACCCTATTTCATTTCTCTTGGAAATCCATTTATTTGTCATGTGTTGTAATTGTGGTTGAGGTAGGATGTAGGAATATGTGTGTTTTGATAGATTTCGCGTGCTGGATATAACGCATTAGACGTCGGTTGGTATTATATGTGTTGAAGTGGTTGAACTGTGATTTCGTTCGTAACTAGGAATTGTGTGTAAGGAATTCAATGTGAATGAATATAGGCATATGTGCCGTGTGTGAACATGAATACCATTTGTGATTAAGAACGTGGCTGAAAATATGTGCAAATGGCATGTTATATGAGATTGTGAATATGTTGGAAGCTATGAATGGTTCAACGATACACTAAGGGTGTGGAAGATGGGGGCGGTAGAAATACCTTGGGGAATAGAGGATGGCGGTGACACCAACAGTGAGTGTGGGTGCACCACAGGCCACACACTCTCCTGCTAACTCGGCCTCTGACTAACACCTTTGCCGAGGGGCTTGTGACCGCACAATTTGTGTCTGTGAGGTAGGGCCTAACCGGCCACCATCCATGATGTGAAACTGTGATCATAGTGCCACAGTGAGCGTGGCTACGTGTAGTGAGCGCATGTGTATGTGGATTATCTGATGGTACAGTGAGCACACCTGTGTGTAAATTGGTATGAAATGTTGAAAAGTGATAAATGTGTTAATTGATACATGATTTGAATTTGGTAATGAATATATAGGATATGCAAAGGTGAGTTTCTGTGGTTGTGTGTGATAGTGTAGAGTACTCACCCTTACATTTATTTTTTAGGTAACCAAGTCGATTAGCAACGGACTCAGAGAAGGGATGGATGAAACTGCTATAGGATTATAAATTTATTTTTGAAAACTTTGATGTAATTGAATTAACCCTGTAACAGTCATTTAATATAAACTTGTAATCCCTTATTATTTTGAAATACTTTGATGAAACTATGTGTTGGAAAATATTTTAAATGAAAATTTTTCATTCCTATTTTTGCAAAAACTATTTATTAAAATTAACGTGTTACACTTTACCCTTTATCAAATTTCCTCTCCTTTGAAAAATTTTCTCCTACCTATAAAATCTTTCTCACAAACCTAAACTCCACACCGACAACTACCTCTGTATCTGAAGCATTATCTAGCAGGAAATGAAAACAAGCCATGGATGTGGAAATTGAGGCATTAAACAAGAACATGACCTGGAAACTTGTCACCTTACCAACTAGAAAAAA